CCCCTTTCAAATAAAAAACAACCAACAAGCCACGTTTACCGCTCCTGCCTTCATATTTTGTATTATCTTCTAAGGCAACACAAGAAAAGGAAACATGATTTCTTCTCTGGCTATCTGGTAAGCTCTCGCAGAAAGAGCTTTTCCTGCAGAATCAGGAAATTTACATTTAAAAATTATTGTTTGTATGTTATTTGCCTGCTTTTTAAAAGTTTAACACAGAGAAAACAAAATAAAAAAATCTTTATGAATAACGAAGGCAAGATTTTCTCTAGAGTCGTAAATCTCTAACTTCAACCAAAAAAAAAAAAACCCTCTCTGGGTTGTAATTGTTTTTAAAAATATAATGTTGTTCCTGAATTTTATCATCAGTTTGTGTTTTTTTGGTTTTTGTCAGATTTCCTATGCCGCCAAATCTGCGGCTCTCAGCGAGCGTGAGAAATACAGGACCTTCTTCCGGTTGGCCTTAGGCGACTCCGCGCTGAATCCTGCACGGCGCATGCTGGTCAAGCACTTCCAGTGGAACAAAGTTGCCGCCCTTTACGAGGATTTAGAGACATTGTCCTTGGTGAGCTGTGTTTCTTTATTTGTTTTTGTTGTTGTTGTTGTTTAGTGTCACGTGTGTGGGTGGTTGAGGGACACTACTGGTGGGTCCTTCTTCTTTTCTTTCCCACTTTTCTATCTGTCTCATTCTTATCCGTGCTCTAAATGATCGTTGTGGTCCTGATGTGCTTCTTTATTCAAGCAAACTAAACTGTTCTTTGTTAATTGTTTAGTATGTAATTGTAATTGACTTTCGTTAGTGTTATCACTTTTGTCTGTTAGGCACAAGTCAATATGTTTTCGAGTCAAAAGGTCTACTCTCGAAGGGACATCAATTTGAGTTGACTTTTCTATGAATTATTGAGAAAATGTCCGGCTTTCAAGAGATTCAAACCGACGTCTGTGATGCAGCAGTTAGGCTCTGCGCTGTTTCACACAGGAGACCTGAGTTCCATTTCCAGCTGAGGAGCTGTGGAAGAACGACTTCAGATGTCATAGTTACCATGGAGCAGCCACCGGGAAACAGCACCTAGTATTCTATCATATTTGTTTATTTCAGCTGGACTTGGTGTAATCAAAGGGAGCGTAAAAAGACCTACTTTTTTTAAAATCCTCAAATGTGGGCTCCTCATAAATCAAACCATTAAATGGTGACTCAGCTTAACTAGAGAAACAGAAAAGTGTTTGTTCTTTTTATCGTTTTAATTGTAAGCAAATTTACTTGGGTTCTCTTCAGTTGGTTTGTTAAAACCCACTGTACGTTTAAGTAAGTGTGTGTTATTGGTGTAGTGCATCTGCTTTTTCCTGGAGCTGTGCTTAAACGCATGAGACCAGCTCCTTAACGTAGCCGTTAAACTGTTGCCATGGATTTTTTTTTAAAACGCGAGTTTGAAAACCACGTTGGGTGCGACGGTGAAGTGCTTAATCAACGCACTGCAGACTTTGGTGTACTGATCAAGTGGACCTATGTCTTTGTTGTATTGAATAGATTGGGTTTAATGCTATCAATCAAAAAGTTAAAAAATCCAAAAACACAAAAAGATCCCCCCCCCCCCAAAAAAAAAGAACAAACAACCCCCCCCCCCCCCCCCGAATTTTATTTCCCTCACAGAAAAAATAATTTTATGAAGTATCTCTTTCTGATTTTCTGCGTAATTCACAAATATCTGGCCCCACATTTGGACACGGGACAAGAAAAAAGTATCCTTGTCTTAGTGCTGGGATGCTGTGTCCCACTCAGTTTGGGTGGTCCCTGACCGACATAGTCGAAGCAGCCCGCCGCCAGCATGACCTACATTTGTCTATGGGAACAGTAATTAGTTAACATTAATCAGGATTTAATAACTTGTGTGATTTATTCTTTGGCATATTATGTTCTCCTCACTCGAGTACGCTCCAGAATTTATCCATCCTGTGCATTGTGCTCATCTGGAGATCCCATTTCCTCTACTGCTGCTGCTGATTGCTTGTTATCTTTACCCTGTATGATTAATTAAATCATGTGAAAGGAGCAGCAACGAAATAAGGGACAGCGTGCCAGATAATTCTCGGAAGTGAAGAGACAGTATTTCCTTTTTTAAAATAAGGGATTCTGCTTTTGAAGAATGGCTTTCTATGGAGCATAAAACTAGGTAGAAGATTGTTCATTTTCTGCCGGAAAAACGATCCAAAAAGTTCAAGGCTGGGGCGTGAGAAGAGAAAACGATGAAAGAAAAATAGAAGGAAAGAAAATCCATAGCCGTTGTGGAAAATATCGACCAGGATTCTGATGAAGATCTTTTGCTTTCTCAGGCTTTTAACGGGATCAACGAGGACTTCTCAGCGCATGGAATTGTCATCAAATCTTCCGCGTCTTTCAAGGATGCTCAACTCGAAGTCCCCGTCAAATTGAAGGAGTTGAGGGTAAAGGTTGTCCCGTTTCTGTGTTCATAATCTTCTGTGTTTAGACTTTTGAGCGTTAATGATGGATCGGGGATTAAAGAGTTAACTGTCTGTTTCCTAGTGCCATGATCTTCAGTGTTTAGACTTTTGGGATGGAACTGGCTCTAGAGAGTCATCAGACTGTAATTTAATTGTTGGAAAGGGGGGGGGGTGTTTTCGATACTTTCATCAACTTTAATAAGTAGTTCATAGGCTTGTAGAAACCTCTAATTCACTTGACACAAAGTCTTTTCCTTCACAATGAAGTGGACTATGCAAACGTAATATTAATTTAGTTTACTAGTAGACACAAATGAGATTTGTTGTTGAAGGCGGAACTCGCTTCTGCTTCATAAAAACACAGAGTGATATAACATATAGCCACACATGAATTAGACAATAACGGCATTCTTCGAATTTAAGGAACGAGGAAATCCGTGGGCTAGACAAGTTTGTCGACCAACAGCGCCTGGAGACTGTCCATAAATAATGTCATTTGTTTCAGATTTAGTTATCTTCTCTGAAATAAAAATATAACATTCGAATTATTTGGAGAAAGTTATTGTACTTTGGAGCCTATGAGTCAGACTTCAGTACATAATTTTTGATATTTCTCCAAATAAACGGTGTCGTCCTATCAAGTCTCGTCTTTGGTGTAAATTGTTGATTGATTTTATCAAGCTTGTAAATGTTGTTGCATCTTAGATCTTTTCTTCAGTCCCCAGATTTCTTTTGATACGAATTTTTCAGAACGCCATGAACAAAAAAGTTAGAGAAAGGTAGTGATAAATTGGAGGACGCCACTAATCATTAACCATATTACGTATAATATCGAAGCACGAGCAGATCATAATTATTTCGGTGCTGATTTAGCCCCTTCTCCTCTTTTGTTCAGTTAATTTTCTTTTCTTTTCTATTAACTCTATAAAAAACAGGACGGAGCGGACACATAATAAGTACGAGCAGCAGACTAACGGCAATGTTTGAGCATCCTCATACACAATACCTTTAATGATAAACACGAGTTTGCTTTTGTCATAATATGCGTTTTGTTGGCTGCGAAAAAAGAAATAGAACTGGAAAATTTGTATAAATGAGGAAATAATATTGTTTGTTTGTTTTTTTACGTTTGTTGGTGTGTTTTTCTTTCAAGGGTTGTCAAATAGCCAGATTGCGGGTCCCGAATGAATTTACAATCCTGCACCTGTGATCCCCTAATAATTATATCAGGGCAGAATATAGAAAACATTAAGTAGAACTCTCATAGTAAAAGTAAATCTGAGCCCTCCATTCTGGACTAACTTTAACGAGTACGCTTATCCAGATGTCTCTACTCTCAGTGGGGCCACGTTTGTTTCAATGTGGCGTCATTCGCAAACGGTTTTCTTTTAAGAATTGCTGAGTCGAAATTAATTTTACCACTGCCAGTTCCTATGCATTGAAAACGTCTGCAGCTAGAAAAAAAACCCAGCCGTTTGAGAATCTAGTTTTTTTTATTTGCATGTTTTGTTTTCCGCATTACTTGTGTACAGACGAATTTGGTGTAGCGGTAAGGTGCATTGTTGTTTCATGCAGGAAGACCGAGTTCGATTCCCGTGTGAGAAGAATTTTATCGTGTATCTCGGTCTTTTTGCTGGGACGTTCTCTTTGCCCGGATTGGCCCAAACAGGCAGTGTCGAAGCCAGCTTTCTGAATTGCCTAAATTGTTTTGATGGGGGTGTAAAAAATCGGCTGTATTTTTAACGATGCTATACTATTATTAGCTGGGGCAGGCAATCGAGCACGATAAAAGAGGAATGAGATCTGTCGTGAAGCCAAGGAAACTGCAAGAATCGAATGATCTTATGGGACAATAACCTATCTTTCTGGAAAATGAGTTCCACAGAATTTTTGTTAACTCTTTAAGGGCAGAGCGGGCACATATTACGGCTGACCAGCTGCACACCAAATGCAATTTTTCTTCACATTTCAAAGCACCACACACAAATCAAAAACATTAATTTGTGTACTTGGCAGTATACATATTGTTTCCTGCTTTTTTAAGTTTTAGGTAAAGAATACAGAATTGAAAAATCTGTATGAAGAAGAAAATTGGTCCTCTTTTTTAAAATGCCCCCAAACAGTGTATCAAATGCCGAATACAAGAATGCGCGTCATAAAAGAGTTAACAAAGGCAGATTAATACCGTGCAGTTTTAGCTTACACTAAGATAGGATATCTGATCAATGCTTTTGTTTTGAAAACAAAAAGATCCGTTGAACTTTGAGCGCCATGCGGCACAGTGGAATGGAGGGATAGAGATTTTTATTAACAGGAGGTCTGTCAAAATGCTTCAAGATTAATCTTGTTCCTTACCGGCGAATGTGGTGTAGTGATTAGGCGTTTTGATGTCCACACAGGAGATCCTAGGTCCATTACAAGTGGGGAGACTTTTAACTAATATGTCAGTCTTTCTGCTGCGATGCTCAATACCTCTCAGCCCGTGTTGACCCTAACAGACAGGATCAAAACCCACCTCCTAAATTATGAATTGTGTCGATGATAGTGTAAAAAAGATCATCCACAGTTAAAACAAAAAGTTGCAGTCTTACTGGGCGATAAGATAAGATAAGATAAGATAAGATAAGCAGATATGATAAGGTAAGATGATATGAATCGTAACTGTCACGATTTGGCAGATTGGAATGGTGTTTAATCATGCGCACACACACACACACACACACACACACACACACACACACACACACACACACACACACACACACACACACACACACACACACACTTCCTTTCTCCCACTGACATCTACCCACATATGACAGCAATCCAATGATATTCTAATAGTCTATTATTTGTTTCAATTTTTATATTTCTTTCTCTTTCAGGACTTGGACGTTCGAATTATTCTGGCAGGTTTTATGGAGCCTGCAGCGAGGCAAGTGTTCTGTGAGGTTTGTGAAACGCATACACACATGATAATGATGATAATAATAATACTAATATGAATAATAATTATTATTATTATAATTATTATTATAATAATAATAGTAATAATAATAATAATAATAATAATGATGATAATAATAACAATAACAATGATGATGATGATGGTGATGATGATGATGATGATGATGATGATGATAAATTTCGCTTAAAAGAGCGTATTTTCATCAAGATAATGTTTACTGCGTGTCACGTTACAAAGAAGACGAGCTCCAACAGTTCCAAAAGTGATCCTTTCTCTCCATCTCTCTCTCTCTCTTTCTCTCTCTCTCGTCCTCTCTCTCTCTCTCTCTCTCTCTCTCTCTCTCTCTCTCTCTCTCTCTCTCTATTTCTCTCTCTCTTTTTTCTCTCTTTCTCTCTCGCTTTCTGTCTTTCTTTCTCTGCGTGTGTTTGTGTATATTATTGTGTGTGTGTGTGTGTGTGTGTGTGTGTGTGTGTGTGTGTGTGTGTGTGTGTGTGTGTGTGCGATTGTGTGTTTGTGGGTGTCAATCTCTCTCTGTTTCTGTCTCTCCCTCACTCCCCCCTCTCTCTCTCTCTTTCTCTTTCTTTCTTTCTCTCTCTCTCTCTCTCTCTCTCTCTCTCTCTCTCTCTCTGTATTTTTACGTGTCAATCTCTGACTTTTTCTGGCTCTGCCTCTCTGTCTGTCTACCTCTCTCTTGCCCCCCCCTCTCTTTCTCTCTCTCTCTCTCTATCTCTCTCTCTCTCTAATCCCCCCTCCCACTTCCTCTCTTAACCCCCCCCCCACCCCCAATCCTCTCTCTTTCAACTCAACTATGTATTTTGTGTCAACCAAACCTCTCACCAATAATTCTGTTCCCCACATTCGGCCCCTATCCTGCCGCACCCCCCAGGCCTACAAGCAAGGTATGTACGGCGCTCGCTACGTGTGGATCCTGGTGGGTGGCTTCAAACATCAGTGGTGGCGAGAGACTCTGGACACAGACTGTACGCCAGCCCAGCTGGCCACTGCGGTGGAGGGCGCCTTCTCTGTCTTCAGTCTGGACGGTCTTCTCGATGGCGGGAAATCCGTGGCTAATCTGGTATGTCTGATAATATTTTGTTCTTGTAAGTGTTTTACTGCGCTCGCAACAGCTTAATTTCATCAGAGCGTGTGGGACACATTGAAAAGCATGTTCAGTTTGGTGGGAGTTTAATTTTGAATTTTGCATGTGTGGCGGCCGAAGCCTACTTTTATCGATTTTAGACTACCAAGAGATCTTTAACTTGCACACCGGACATCGGAGAATGTACACCCTTATCCGAGAAGTCTAGGAGTTACATCTTACCTACACTAAGTTCAGGGGCGTGGCTGAAAAATAGCAATAAGAAGGAGCTCAAGAGTAGCAGTAGAAAGGCTACAGAATGAGTATGGAGCCTAGAGGAGTTGGCAAAAGGGGGCGGGGGCAGAACGTGGAGACGAAAGAAGACGACAGAATATGATTAGAGACATGTCTGGTAAAGATGGACCAGTCATTTAAATTTGTATCATTGCTGTTCCCCCATATTGTCTTTGTTCACACCTTTTCTCTTTTTCTCTATCTCCCCCATCTCGCTCTCTCCTGCTTTCTCTCTCTCTCTCTCTCTCTCTCTCTCTCTCTCTCTCTCTCTCTCTCTCTCTCTCTCTCTCTCTCTCTCTCTCTCTCTCTCTCTCTCTCTCTCTCTCTCTCTCTCTGTCTCTCTTGCACACACACACACACACACACACACACACACACACACACACACACACACACACACACATACACACACACACACTGTCGCTCCATGTTTCTCCTTCTCTCCCTCTCTCCTTCCCTCTCCCCGTCCCCTCCCACCTCTCTCTCTCACTCTCTCTCTCTCTCTCTCTCTACCCCCCCCTGTCTTTCTCTCTGCATCTGTCTCTCTCACACCTCTCCCCCTCCCACCCCCGCGCTCTCTCTCTCTCCCTATCTTTCTCTCGCTAAGATGGCAACGTTCTTGTCACAATAGATCAGAGGTCATAAACTCTTTATCGCACTGTTGACTTCACAGACATCTACAGAATTTCTAGAAGCCTACTTCAAAAGCAATGGGAGTCGACCTCTGAGCATGTATGCCGCTAGCACCTACGACACGGTTTGGACCATAGCGCTCACGATTCAGGAAACTTTACGGCGGTGGGGGGCCAACGGAACAGCGGCGCCGCCATTCCATCAGTTGAGCTACGAAAACATGGGCTCGGTGAAGGAAACTTTCATCAGCACGATGGAGAATCTGGAGTTCCCAGGGGTTTCGGTGAGTGATTGAGCAGCGAAAGGGCAGTTGGCGGGTGGTGTAGAAAAGAGGTTGGGGTGGGAAGAGGAGGGAACAGGAAGGGGGAGTGGAAGAGAGGAGTATCGGGTAGGAGAGAGGAGGGAATGGGGGAGGGGGGGGGGCTGAGAATAGAATGGGGATACGTGGAAAATCGGGAGGAGAAGAGGGGACAGTGAATAAGGCGAAAGGAAGTCGAAGAAGGCTTGATACAACAAAATAAATTGTAAAGAATGGGATTTATTTTTAAACAAAGAGGGGGGGGGGGGGAAGCATGTGAACGAAAATGATATGTCTCTAACAGACGTTGAGATATATACACATGCCTTTCATATTCTGTCCTTTTCTGTTTTATTTTCTGTTTTATTTCTTTGCCTCTTTTTATTTCTTTCTCTTTTTCTGTCTTTCTTTTCTCTTATTCCTTCATCCTCTATCTGTTTCTTCTCTCTCTCTCTCTCCTCCTCCCCCTCCCCCCCCTCTCTCTCTCACTCTCTTTCTCTCTCTCTTTCACTCACTCTCTTTCTCTGTATTTGTGCGTACATGTATGTGCTATTTTATTTATCCTCCCACTATCTCAAACACACACAAAGAATATAGAAATATTGAATGTGTATTATTACCATTCTGTGAGCCTTTGACCAACGTTTTTCAGGGGAAAGTCCTCACCGAAATGTGTTTTCAAGTTTTAAATGGAAATAAAGAATGTTGAGTCCCACCCTAAAAGAAAAAAAAAACAACCCAAAGAAAATTGCCATACTGGCAAAGCAAATAATATTTTGCTTCTCCCATTTCCTTATTTTGACAAACGATTGATTTCACCACGATGCAACACTTTTTTAATGATACTGTTGTTACAGTAAGACGCCCTACTAGACAAATCACAGATCGGTTCAAAGATAATATAAACCTTGATGTCCCTGTCAGAACATAGGGTTCAGAGAGAAGACCTCCGCTCCTCGAAAAAAAAGAAGAAAAATTCACGACAATGCACACGAGGGTCCTCCCAGAATATTGGTGTTTGGCAGCAGCTCTGGTTCGGTTTGTCCCTTATTTCCAATCAAGCTTCAGCAGTCCGTATCTCTCCCACTTCTTTTCTTTGTAGGTTACTCTCTCGTAACACCCCCGATGCTTATAAGTCCTATTTTTATTATCTTATTATAATCTGGCTTATTTCTTCGGTGCTCATATGTCCTATTTTTGTTGCGAGTACAGCAAGGTCCTTTCTAAAATTAGAAAAAACAAACAAGAAAAAATCAAATGTGAAACAGCTCCCAGACTTAGCATCGAACTTTCACGTACCAGATCAATTGATAGAGCTTCGTGCCGGGCAGTCTAATTACTAGGTGACCGGAGCTACTGAGAACAGACGGGAATGTGAAAAACAATGCGTAGAAACAGGTTCGAGGAAAATAATAAAGGGAAGATTAAGACTAAAGAAAGAATTCTTTTTTAAAATTTATAGTCAGAGAAAAATGTAGAAAACAGGGGGGGGGGGATGGATACAAACCAATGAAGAACGCAACCCCCCCCCCCCCCCCCCCGTGTATTTGTTTGTTTGTGTGTGTGTGTGTGTGTGTGTGTGTGTGTGTGTGTGTGTGTGTGTGAGAGAGAGAGAGAGAGAGAGAGAGAGTGAGAGACAGACAGAGAGAGAGAGAGAGACAGACAGACAGACAGACAGAGACTGAGACAGGGACAGAGACAGAGACAAAGAGAAAGAGAGAGAGAAACAGAGAGATCGAGAGAGAGAGAGTGAGAGAGATAATGGGAGGGAGACAGAACAGATAGATAGGCAGACAGGCAAACAGACAGAGAAACAGAGAAAGAGGGGTGAAACAAAGAAAGAAAGGGCAGAGGAATAACGAGAGAAGACGGAAAGGGAATACAAAAAACCAGCTTGAGCAAAGACGTTCGGCCTTGAAATCGACCTTGGTATTCACCGGCTTCCTTTTCCTCTCCAAGTGCCCAGCCGAGCCCAATCCCTGCGTAATCCATCCCATTGACCGATAAACCACAAGGTTAAAAGGGAATCACACGTCTAAAACTTTGGTAACTTTGAATTTATTTAGGCCAATGGTTCACGAGGGAATGGGTCATGTTCCCCGAGTTACTATGGAATACAAATGTGGTTGTTACATCCTGGGCCGGACTCTGCAGTCAATAATGCCAGCCACTATACAGAATAGATTGGTCGGAGGACCGAGGAACAGTGACTGTGCAAAGCAAACCTCGTTTTTATGATGTTCATGGTCTCGATGCTAAATATTTTCGTCGTGTGCTTTTTTCTTTTTTGTTGTTGTTGTTGGTGGTTGTTGTAAGGGGGGGGGGGTTCATCATCTTCACCAATTACAGATTAAATTAAGAGCATGAAGGAAAATAGAGTCAAAAGGCTTGGTCGGCGATGTTAGCATTTTAAAACAAATTCTTCGTTCAATTTCTTCTTGTGCCAGCTCTTTATGGCTGTTGGAAGTAAACAGGTTCTGTCTAACTTGCTTCTTTGCCTGGATACATGAAAGAGGTCTCCCGATTTTTCTTTTTGTATTTTTTTGTGGGTCGGCCCTCAATTTTTGCTCGGTCTATTTATGTTACTGGTGCTCGAAGGTGGGGGCATATATATCATTATATTTTTGTGTGTTTAAATCGTATGCCTGGAGTTAGCAAAATATTGAAAATAATAGGATTTAGGAAAAAAATTCAACTTCATGTTTCTCAGACAGATCTCTAGTTAATGGAAATCGAAACGAAATGCAGACCCACTTGTCCAGCTGAATTCGATTACATCAGACGATGACGTCAATGTCACTCCTCCTCGGTGCAGCCTTAACCAGATTGGTAGAGACTTCGATTGCCCGGATTTTAAATGTTAAACAGAAACCTTTTTCTTTTTTTTTCGCTCCAAAACTTTCCCGCACATTGACCGAACAGGTCAGCAGTAACAAATGACGCCATAAGTTATTCTAAGTCAGCTGACGTTGGTTTGGGTTTGGGTTTTTTGTTTAGTTGTATTTTAAAATTTTATTTTGGTTCTCCGTAGTCTGTGCTGTAGCAGTTTGGTGCTTGGCATCGCACTCAGGACACCTGAGTTCGATTCCCTGGTGGAGATTTTTTTTTATCCAGTATCTCTGTCTTTCAGGTGGGATGTTGCATCCCTCCCAGCCTGGGTTGGTCTTGACCAGCAGGGTCGAGGCACGCCTTCTTCATGATCCACAGAGGGGTCTGTGGTGTAAACGTCAGGTGCATCGCCATAGCACGAAGAGGACATGAGTTCCATTCCTAAATGGGGAGATTTTTTTTTCGAGTATCTCGATCTTTCTGCTCGGACGTTGTATTCCTCTCAGCTTGGTTTGGCCCTGCCGGCTGGGTCGAAACCCGCCTCCCTAAATGACCTAAACTGTGTCGATAGGTGCAAAGAAGACACACACATTTAAATAAAGCTTCTTTGTCATTATTGTGAGCCGAGGACTATGAGATTCATTGGTGTAATAAATGAAACGTTCTGGTGCTGGGATTCCTTCTATTGCCCAGAGTCTGTAGACCTCCTTCGATGCTTTGGTCCGAGAAACAGAGACTGTGAAATAGATCTTGTATACATCAGTTCCCGACATCTCGTCCCGTACCAACTTACACAGTAACCTTCGCCCAAATAGGCACTATAGTGTGGCAAATCGCAACCCCAGAATTACAACGTTTTATCTCCTCAATATCTATTTTTGAGAAATATGACGTCAAAATGTTTGAGTTTCACATCATGTCAAGCTTTTTCGAATGAAAGTCTTTGAATATCTTGGTAACGACTCTGAATAATCATACGATTTTGATTACACAGATAGAACATTTGGTTTCTGTCCTCAAGGTCTTAGTAACTCAAAACTGCCAAAAATGTCAGAACTTTATAATTCTGAGCTAGCGAAATATCAATGGTGCTTGTGAGATAGTGCAGCTCGGATGGTTAGAGATAAGACTTACTGGCACGTTCTCCTTTCTTTTGTTTCTTCCCTCTGGTGTTTCTGTCTGCCTGTATCCCCTTTTACTTGCACGGAATAACCTTGGGTGGTTGGCAGGTGCTCTAGTTTAGTTTGCTCCTTCATCTCTATTGAACTCGCCCTTATCACACCTTCTTTTTTTCCTTGTATTCATCCTCTAGTTGTAACGCTTCTAACCTTCGGTACTCATATTTATGACCTATTTAATTTGTGTTTCAAGTGACGTCGTTAGTCTCGTGGGGTTGTGAGCACGAGGGTTGGAGCCTCAGGCCTACGAAAAGGCACTTAGCGAGAATTTCCCTCACTTCACCCTGATAAGAATGGGTACCTGGCCATAGACAGCGACAATTCTTGTCAGTATATTAGTGTTTTAGCGCCTATAAAATTACAGCTTCCACTGTCTGCTTCCTAGGAAGTTGACATTGCCTCAGAATGCTATCAGGTCTGCTGCGGTAATAATGTGACTGTGCTTAACGCTTCCTGTTGAGCAGGAATGTGCGCAAAACAATTGCTACTTATTATTATCAAGTGCTGTGAAACCCTTGCAACAACACCAGAAAAAAATAAAAGCTCAAATAAGAACTTCGGTGCGGCAACAATGTAAGCTGTTTGTGAGACAGTGTTGTGCGGATGGTTGGATGCTTGGTCCTACTTCCTTTCTTTCCCTCTGGTGTTTCTGTCTGTTTTTCTCAAATATAGAAAAACCAAACATAATATACATAATGTGTCATTTGCGCATGCATCCGTCTGTCTGCGACATTTCATTTATTCCCATCCACTCTGTGAAAAGTACGCGTCCTGTGGAGTGTGTCAGTATCACTTACACTGCACTAAAATGAACAGACAATGGTTACTTGTGACCTTTTCACTCCCTAAAGTTAGAAAAATTTCCTATTGCAATTTTTCTTCTCTCTCCTCACCAGGGCCCGGTGTCTTTCAAAGGATCTGACAGAGAGGGCATCGCTGTTGTTTACCAAGTACAAGGTAATCGTTGTGCCTGTGTGCGTCTATACCGTGGGAAGTTCACAGGGAAAAATAACGTAATTCAAGCGTAGTAGACTTTTGTAGTTGGAGATTTTGATCAATCTTTTCCAACACGCTTTTAAACCAGTTGCAGCAAAGCGAAATCTGAACGAGATGCAGTGGTAGGCCCTATCAGTTTCTTTTCTGCCCTTCACTGTACTTGTCTGACCAATTGTGTGTCAGTCAGATTGACTGTCTGTCCCTTTAACTATCTTTTTGCATGTTTGCCAGTTTGTTGGTCGGTAACTTTCACACTCTCTCTACCATCCCCCCTCTGTCTGTCTGTCTGTCTGTCTGTCTTTCTGTCTGTCTGTCTGTCTGTCTGTCTGTCTGTCTGTCTGTCTGTCTGTCTGTCTGTCTGTCTGTCTGTATGTATCTCTCTCTCTCTCTCTCTCTCTCTCTCTCTCTCTCTCTCTCTCTCGGTCACTCCCTCTGCTTGGATAATGTTATTCTTCTGCCATTTGAATTTGTGCTTGATCAGAGAGCTGGTATGTTGAAATACAATTCTCCCCCCCCCCCCCCCCTCTCACCTATTTTGTCCTCAAATAAGAAAGTTCCTTAGTGACCTTTAGGATAACTGCACCCGCAAATTGAGGAGTTCCTGCCCAACTGAAAATGCCATATCCGTTCGTGTCTGGGTCTGAACTTGCAAATAGCAGCTTGTTTGTTTGTTTGTTGGTTTGCTGTTTTTTTGGTTTGTTTGTTTGTTTGTTTGTTTGCTTATTCGTCTATTTGTTTGTTTGTTTCTTTGTTTGTTTGTTGGCTTATTCATCTATTTGTTTGTTTGTTGTTTGGGTAAAGAGAAGCAGGTGAACACAAAGCTGTAATTTGGTGTTGGGTAAAAAGCAAGGAAGACAGACAGAAACAATAGAGGCGAAATCAAGAGAAGGACCCACCAGTAACGACCTTCAGCCACCCGCTAGCAAGTAGTTTCCACAATGTATTAGTTGTAAGGCCTGCCATAAACAGAAATGCTGATGGAAAACATCTGGACCCAAGTTCTTACTGCGCTCATATCTCTGTACTAAGGTAAAAGGTTAACACTTGGGTGGTTTTGGGTTAGAGAGGTTTAAGGTTGGTCGTAAATATTTATAGCAACAAAAATCCCACTATAGCAAGTGAGCATACTAAACGTGGCTTTTTCCCCCTTTTTCCTTTCGTTTTCTTAATGACTTTTCTAAAGAATCCATACCGGCTTATTCTGTGGTGCAGCGGCTTGGCCCTTCAATTCCCGAGTTGAGATAATTCTTTTCGAGAACTCAGTCTTTCAAGTCAGTCTGATGATATTATCAGACCCTGAATTCTTAAGTTGTCGTCAGCAAGCTGATTGTTTGCTTTAAACCCAAAAGCATTTTTTTCAGTAAAGAGGCAAAAGCTCTTTCATCTTTTTAAAACCAATTGTACCTATATTATAATATATCTTTGATTGCTTTATTTTCAATTTGTTGAATTTTGAACTTCCACAAAATATTTCTTAATTGCATGTAACTGCTATCATAAATTAAGAATCTGCAGGTAGAAAATAGAAAATGTTGGACTTGGTACATCTGAACATCAGTCAACAACGTATGCTTTTCATGCCTAACTTTCACAGGAGGGAATTTCACACCAGTTGCTATGCACCAGCCCACGAGAGCGTTCCTGGACTTCGACTGTGATTCTTGCCACAACATTTTTTGGCAAGGTAAGGAGTAGAATGTTTGGGTTTAAAACAAAATTTTAACATACTATGCGCTCTATTTGAGGATTTTGAGATGAGGTTTCAGTTTGAATGGGCTATTGAATAAAGTAAAGAGAGGAGAAAGAGGGGAACGAGAAAGTGGGGACGAGAGGGGGAAAGAGAGAGAGGGA